TGGCCTTTCCTTATGTTATGAACTTTGTTAAAGAGGAAGACATTTAAAGAAAAAAATTTTCCCAAATAGCATCTGTTCCCAAAAACCCTAGTGAGGCCATGTGGGAAAGGACAATGGAGTGCCAACACAAATACTGTTTGAAAGGATGGAGCACGCAAAGGACTGAAATATCAGTCTGTAGCAAGACTTATAAACCAAATCTTTATGTGATAATTTCTTTTGATACTTCATTTTAACTACCATCCCTAAAGGGTCGGAGTCCTCTACATTTAGTCCCATTACTCTCATTTGAATAACCTGAGCTTTATATTTCAATATCAGCATGGATGTTAAAAAAAAAAAAGAAAGGCAATTGCTATTAGTTACCATAATTACCCTCTTGAAACTGCTCCTAATTTTCCTTTCAATGAACCTTCATTTTCACATTGTTCACTATGATATTGAGAATGGAGTTAATATGAAATAATACACATATTCATGGTATAGTCATGCATCTATAATTAATACTAGGAATTGATTAACTGTATTTCTAAAAGGGACTTCAGAATAACATATAAGAATTCTGTTTCTTTTTACTCTCTGTGGACAGCTAAACAGAATGTTAAGAACACCTACACAGCCAAGTCTGTCATGCCACAGTGGATGGCAGTGAAACCTCAGATGGAACAGTCTGTGCTAGTTCTGTAGATATGCATTGCCTTGTCCCTTCTAAACCCCTATGCCAGACCTAAATTTGTAAGCAAGATAGCTTTTGGAATTTTAATTTTTAATTGCCACTTACTTTACTAAAAATTTAATACACAAAAAGGCTATACCTATGATGAAAAATTATTCTGTGCTCAAAAAACTAGCTTTTGACAACAAAACTGCATTTCTCAGCCACCTACATTTTTCCAAGCTAGAAATTAATTTAAAAACATGTAGTAGGTGTTCCAGAATAGACACTTTTTTCCAAAAGTCAGTTGAATTCTCAGGTATGCTTACCTGGAGCAGTGTATGATAGCACGTGAGGTGTCCTGGCCAATATAACCTTGCCTTTACAGACTTATTCAAGCCCCTGCTCTTCTCTTTGTAGGCTGGTGGAGAAACAGACATAACAAGTCTGCACCCGACTTGCATTATACTGATTACTAAATTTGAAGGATTAATTTAAATTGTTTATGAAAACACCAGTTACTGCCAATGGCTCAAAGCAATGTTAACCTGACATATCAAAAAATTCCTAATTTCTGTCAGGCAAATATTTTTTCATGTATATTTGGTCCTTTCTGTTTTTTTCTAGTTTTGCAGACTCCACTAGTTGAACTGGAACCAGCCTACTTACATTTAAGTACAATATTATTATTGGATATGACTGCATCTTCTAAGAATGACAGAAAGCATATTGAACATAAAATAGACTTTCCAGATATTTTTGCATCTTGCAATGAAATTGGGTCATTAGTAATTGTAGCAGTGTTGTTAAATTTGACTTTCCTGTTTTCTGTTCTTATTACATACTACTGAAATAGAAAAGAGGAAGCGCAATAATTCTGTTTGGGAAAAAAAAGCCCCAACCAAATCAACTACAGATTCTCTCTAATGGATTGTAATTATGTTAATTTAAAACATTATAATAAGCTGTAGGTAATTTCCAAAGTTATTAAAAAATGATGTAGTTGTTAAGAAATTATTTGGTGGAAGTATCAGAAATGGCATAATCTTATCTACTATACATATGGCCATAAAAGCAATTTTTTAAAAAGCAATTTCAAAAAAAGCATAAAAGCAATTTCATAGGAGAATTATTTTTTTCCTGGGAAGAAGACTTAGGATCTCTCTGGGCAAGTTCTGTTCCATTCCTACTTTTTATCTTTAAGCCTATATGCCACTGTTCCCCTCCAGATAACTTCTGCAGACAATAGGTTATCCCTTCTTTTTCTGGTCAGAGATTAAACATAATATTATTATAAAAAAGCTGAAATAGTATGAAGTTGAAAAAGGCTGTTTTAGAATAAACAGCACAAGCAAACCGGAGGAATTGTTGCTTCAAAAATAATGTTTGGTTTCTGTAAAAGGGTTAGTCTATCTTCTACTGCACAGTAATCACCAGGACTATTATTATTCTTCTATGACCATTACTGTGTCTGGATATTATAAAGAAGCCAGAAATAAGTTTCCCAAGTACAGGAAAGGATGGATGTAGGGTTTTCTCCCTCAGTATCTTAGAGCACCACAACACCCTGAACCATAAGCTCCAGTACCCTTAGGCCCTGACATTATACTGCGCAGAGTAGGTCCCCTCTCTCTAAAAGAAACTCTCTGGGAATGTACAAAGTGCAGAAATCGAGCAATATTTCTTAGGGAAAGGACTTTCATGTGAGAACACTGGCCAAACAGGGGAAAAAATTTCTTTCTAGCCCTTGCTTTTCATTTCAACTCATTACTGTGCTTCGTTGGGAAAGGGTCATTTATTTTTGCCTTCTTAATAAAACTATTTATTTTCCTTATTTGCTTTGTCAAATACAAAAAGGAACAAACAGACCCTTTATCCTGCTACCCTTGTGCCACAGCATTTGAACCTGACAGTCTGGAGCTCAGAAGCGTGACCTGTTGAGGAAGGAGAAGGGCATCGCATGCCTCCAGCCCTCTGGAAGGGATTGCACAGTCTCAGCTGACTGAAATCGTGCTCAGGCTACAAATACAAAGGTACCAGTGGCAGGAGAAAGCCACTGGTGCCTTTGTACAAAGCACTAATCTTTACAAGTTTTAAAGTAAACATCCCATTAATATATTCTAATCAGCATAAGAGTATTCTGTTCTTCCCCCCACGTGTGTTACTGTTACTAACGGAACTCATTGCTTCTTTTCAGACTTCTTTCAAGCAGGTTTCACTGGATTGGCTAGCTTACATTTTAAAGTTAAACTGCCTTTTTTCTTTCATTAATTGCAGCTTGTCAATTCACCAAACAGAAAGGAAACAATTTTTGATTATATCTATATTTAGATTCCTTTGGGATTCCTAGTAAAAAAAAACAAAACATCAACCACAAGCAAAACAACCCCACCAAATTATGCTCTATGAAGGGTTGTTACAATGACTGCTCTTTAAACTTACATAGAAACAAATCTATTTACTGCAAAACCATTCCCTCTAAATAATTTAGTTCACTTGAACAAACAAACAAAAGTAAGTTTCTTTTTTTCTATTGGCTATCAATAGCCTTCTGTACTACTTACTCATCAGTTATCTGCCATTGGAAATCAAGACTGATCTTTTGTGTTTTAGAAGATGAATTTTCTTACTTCTTAGTCAACTTTATAATTCTAATCAGTATTGTTAGGTGATTCAGATAAACTACTTTAACTTAACTTAACTTCCTTTTTTGATAGTATGACATGCAAAACACAGTAAGAGCTTCAGCTCAATCACAGATTGTTCAGACAGTGCCCTATTTTTATTAAACTTTTTCAATGAAAAAAACCTTAAATAGGTGTATGCATTTTTAAACCCTCCATTTTAAATCTTTCCTTATATCTGCTGTTCTCCATTCTTTTCTGTCCCACTTCTCTGAAGTGGGAGAGGTGCAGGTCATTCTGACCCTGATACCCTGGCTTGAGCAGTCTTCCATTTCTTGAATCATATTTTAATAGGGCGGTACACAGCAGAATTGCTGATTATTTGTGTCTGTTGTTCCAATACCCCTTGTTCTAATTCACCAGGAGCTTGCAGCACATTGCCCCAGTGTTCCTGCTCAGCACAGAATGCAGGGCTGGACTCACAGATTTCTGAGAGCTCCTCTTTGATCATTCAATCTCCTCTGTTGTGGGTTTCCACTGTTGCCTGTGATTTCTCACACCTCTGCTTCTTGCCACAGCTCATATCCAGAAGTTAGCTAATACTTTCCCTGAGGGGAATAAGTGCCAGGCTGTAGCAGCCAAGTTTCAGCCTCTCTTCTGGGTTTAGGTATCCACATTTTCTTGGGGGAGAGAAATGTCTCTCATACAGCAGCTGGGCTACGTGAACACCATTTTAATGCAAGTCAAAAGGATTTTACCTTTCTTAAACATTTCTTTAGTTTTTGTTCAATTTTGCAGAGAATTACAATACTATGAACTTGAGTATATCTATAAAGAATACTTGTAAAAACCCCTTAGTATTTGTCTAGAAAAATCAAGACTTAGGTGCCTAATGTTGGCATGAAATGGAATTTAGGTGTTTGAATCTAAAACTGAAATTTTTAAACCCCCTGTATTACTTGTTTTATCCTGGAACCTGAAATGCCTCAGTACTAAACCCTCCTCTTTGTGTCTGAATTTTGACTTTTTGAATGTTTCCAGATGCATCTCATTTTCCTCAAGGCTGAGTTTTCCAACGATATGGGGGAGGGAAAAAAGAGCAAATCAAATGGTGGCATAAGCACTGAAGTACAAGGCAGTAAAAACAATGGAGATGTAAGAATAGTAGCTCATATGTTTAAGCACCTATGAGTAAACATCTACCTTTATTTATTTACTAGCAAAGTTAAAATGAAGACAAAATATTCCACAGCTGAGTATAGCCAAAAGCATTGATACAAGGACAACCTACGCTAAATGTATAATTTCTTTATCTACTATTTCATATTAAATACTGACATAATTGGGCAATTCTCCATCCCAGGCAGATGATGAACGAGCTAATACCTTGTCACATACCTTCTGATGATCACCCTCCAATTTACTGAATGATGTATTTTTATTCCCACAATTCAGGCTGGTCTGAATTGTGTCTTCTAAAAAAAAGAATAAGGGGAGAGGGGGCAGATACATCTCTTCAAGGAGAGAAGGAAATTCCCCTGTATGCTGGACATGCTGGACAGACAGCCTAGTCAAGGAAGTTATTATATTCAAAAAAGGTTTCCATTCTTTCCACAATCTACAAAGAGAGGGTTCTAGAATGTGGATTCTGTTGAAAAAGAGACACCAAGAACCAAGAAGAGAAGGATAAGATGCAAAAAAAAAAAAAAAAAATGCTGACAGTTTATAAGCTGGCCACCTTTAGGTGTTTTGAAGCAGACATTTGTAAATATTTGGATTCCATTTTGATCATGAAACCCTCCTGAGTACTCCCTGTAGTGTACATGGTCTTAAAGGTAGGCTCTCAAGACTAGGGCTGGTTATCAAATCTTCTCCCCAATTCAACAGAAATTGAAAAATTCTCATGTGTTAATAATCTACCACTTTTTTTTTTTTTTTGGAAGGCACACAACCTGCAATCTGGGTATTCTTGAAGACTCCTTTTATTTTTTTCCCCGTGTTTACAAATATTTTAGTTCCTTTTTTCATGGTTTATACATTTAACTTTGAGAACAATACTCAGGTAAAGGAATGCTGGATGTATAGGATCTTTAAGCCTCTCAAAAAAAAAGTAAAAATCCAGAGTTCAGAACCTTGAAATTTGTCCAAACAAACTACAATGGTAAAGAGAGGGAAAAACACAGAAATCTTTAATACATTATGAAATTAATACCTCATTCTACATTACAAGATCTCTTTTGTAATATGATCTTTTGATTTAATCACACAACCATGATATTATTCTAGAAAAGAGAAGCTGGTTTAACTCATAAGAGCATTTCTAAAATAGCCAATTTAAGTAAAAATAAATGAGCTTACTTGTTATGACCAAAGGGAGAAGAGAGTATAGTTTAATGCCATCGTTACTGAAAATCTGGCACAGAAATAGTACACAAGTACTTGGCAAAAGTACAAGTAAAAAATTTGCTATCTCACAGCTTTTTGTTTATTTTTTGTTTGTTTGCTGTCAGTAAACAAACCCAAATGAGCACAAATGAGATGCCAGAACTGCATCTACTTGTCTGCCAACATGGAGTGGAAACCCTTGTACAATGCAAGTCCTTCCACGGGCACACATTACTCTTGTCTCACACTCAAAAGGGAAAAAAAGGAGGGAAAAAATTAAAGGTACAAATGAACACAGAGTTAAAAGCAGAGACCATGTCTGAAATAAGAGAAAGACATGCTCTAATCCCATCATTCTTTCTAGCCCAAATACTCAAGTTTTTACCTTTAGAAGTAGTTAATAACCAGGTTTAGCTGCAATCCTAATTAGAGGGAATATATCCCTTTTTGTTTCCCACTCTCTAAGGAACAGATGCAATAGCAATCAGTTTCTTTATCCACAAATCAAAGCTAACACTCTGGACTGAAAAACTTCCTCTCTTGACTCCTTCTGAATGAGAAACTAAACACTTCTCAGTTTCTGTGCTGCATTTCTTTTGTGCTCAGCTGCAGGATCCCAGCCCCTCTCTTCACTGTCAGCATTCAGTTAATGCTACCTTTTTGGAAGAAAGAAAAGCAGAAAGTGCATGTATCAGCTCGATAATATATTGTCATTAACCGAATTTAACAGACATAAGAGAACTATTGAAAACATTAGATATTTATCTAAGGACCGGTAAATGGTTAAAAGCACCTAGTTTATAAACCATAATTATATTATTCTCTACTATAAATGATGTGCTAGTACTACAACTGGGCATGTTTTTTCACCAATATTGCCATTCTGTTTTGCTCAGACAGGGCACACACAGGCTGTTCAGATTTTGCTTGGTGACCAACAGCCACCTGCAACTGCATCCCACCAAATAAGATTATGACTTACTGGCAGGAATGGACTTCCATCATTTCCACTGGAAATTTATAATCCAAGCTAGTTGACTGGAGGTAGGGGTCCATGCTGAAAGGCAGCAGCCAAAGTCTGTCAGGAATGGCTGTTGGCAGCCAAGCACATTGCACTGTACCGAGGCTTGGAAAACGAAGACAGACAACATGCCTAAGATGTTATTCCCAACAAAGCAGTGATAGCTGGCAGTCCTGTTATCTTCTAATGGAACAGTCTCCTGCATTATGGTGCCCTTTGTCAGCAGTTCCCAGCACCTGTGATGACCCAGGGCTCCGGTCTAGTGCAGTGTTGCACTGGACACCCACCAGTGTACATAGTGTAAGATGTAGGCTGAAGAACTGCAACAAAAGAAAAAAAAAGTTAGACACAATTTATTCCTCTGTATAATTTACATTGGAATGGGGAGCGGAGATTAAGGTGCAAGGCTGGAAGTAGAAGCAAGTGCTTTTGAGACACAAAGGTTACTCTAAGTTTGTATAAAGAAGTCGTCCACTGGCAAGCCACTCATGAATGTTAAGAGGATGAGGATCAGAATAAATTTTCTGGAGTTTCTTGAAAGGCAAGGACTCTTCAATGGTGCCACAAAACACTGACCTGTAAATGGATGTTGTGGTTTATCCCAGTCAGCAATCAGGCACCATCCAGCCACTCACTCACCCCCCAACCAGTGGGACTGGAGAGGGAATTGAAAGGGTAAAAGCCAGAGAACTAGTGGGTTAAGATACAGAGTTTCACAGGGAAAGCAAAAGCAGCCCACACAAACAAAGCAAAACAAGGAATCAATTCACTGCTTCCCATGGGCAGGCAGGTGTTCGGCATCTCCAAGAGAGCAGGCCCCATCACACCAAGTAGTAGTGACTTGGGAAGACAAATGCCATCACTCCAATGTCCTCCTATTTCTCCTTCTTCCCTTCACTTTACATACTGATCATGATGCTATACGGTCTAGAACCCCTTTGGTGTGTTGGGTCACCTGTCCTGGCTGTGTCCCCTCTGAACCTCTGATGGTTCCCCAATGTCCTCGCCATCATGGCAGTACAAAAATCAGGAAAGGCGTTGGCTCTGAGTAAGCCCTGCTCAGCAGTACCAAAAAACATCTCTGTATTATCAACTCTGTGTCCAGCACAAATCCAAAACACAGCCCTGCACTAGACACTGTGAAGAAATTTAACTCTACCCCAGCCAAAACCAGCACGGTGGAAGAAGGATTGAGCTCAGAAAGTTGGAAAGCGTGCCATTTTCAGCTGAGGGGGTTTTTTACCCTCTCCCATGGATACACCTGCAAGACAGAATTCATTCTAAACTAGCACAGCCTTTTTTCCCCCCTCCCTAAAGCACCGTGTCAGTAGTCTAAGCTCAAAATCCTTATTTCATGGAAAATATAGTTGTTTCCAATTGCCTAAGTATATTTCTCACTCAAAGTTTTTATGCACTTGAGGATGGATTTAAACAGGATTCAGCACACTTGCTAAGCCAGAAAGGGAGAGGGCGTGGGTAAGTGGCACAAGCAGGCACACACAATTGTCCCTCTCAGCTGTACAATTTGCAACTCTGCTGTTCTAACACAGAGATTATCTTCAGTGACCAAAACGTACAACTGTTTGCACAGCAACAATGTACACAGATTATTTTTAGTTCAAACATGTGGCACTACTCATTGTGCAGCTGCTTTCATGCATTAATGCATTGGGATACAAAACCCTAATTGCAAGAGCCCAAATTAATTGCAAGCAATGAGACATTTTGGACTGAAAACCCCTTTTGGCTGCACTGGAATCGAGTTGTTGACTTTTTAAGCTAAAAGAGATATGAATCATGGAAAATATTTTATTCTTAACCCCTCAAAGTACCCAATATTCCTAAACTAATGCAAAATACAGTTATGTGTTGGCTTAGAAATTACAACTTCTCTGCCAAAGGTTAATTCAGACTATTCATCCAAGATTAGTTGCAAGTTTTTAAAACTGTAAATAAATTCTTGTTCCTAAACAGCACAGGTTTTCAAAGCAGGGAGTATAACCCACAGCCTATAAAAGGAAAAGATTTAAAGCAGAAATGGGACATTTGACTTCTGCATATTTGGAACATTTAATCACCCTCTTGGTTATATGGAATAAGTTAGACTGGTGGCTTTTTCTTCAGCTCCTTAGCAAAAGTACATTTATTTAATAGAGCCTTAATCTTTCTTAGGATTATTTAGAATTGAGTCCTGCACCTTTTACAGGCAACTGCAGAACTCTGCTTCAGGAGGGAAAAGGTCCAAAGACCGTAAGCACTTGGAGGCAGAAAGTCTAACTTTTTCTTTTTTGAACAAGGGTGGGCATCTTTCATGTTCATAATACAACATATTAATAAACACATAATTGGAGAATTTTAGTCTCATTCTATTAGATACAGAGAGCTCTGCAAATCTTACATTGCTTTTAGTTGTAAACTCAGGGAAAAATAGTCTAAGGTATAAAAGTACTGTCTCAGGACCTACAGACAGTAATAATTACAGGACCTAGGTCTCAGACAGAAGTAATTTTGGCAGATTTGGCTCTAACACTTCAAAACGCTGATGCTATTGCATCACCTCATACCATCCCTCTGCTGCAGACAACTACCCACATAAAAACAAACTTGTTTTCCATAGTTTGATCTTAGCACACATTTACATTCACTGTCAGTTTAAGTCTATTATTTACATTGCCAATTACCATATTAAAATAAGCATGTGCAGTGTTGTCCTGAAAGGAAAAAAAAAGATAATTTATATCACTAAACTCTCACAAAAAGCCATGCACGCACACCTACCAGAGAACCTTGTGTAATTTCACATCTAATTTTCACGTTTCCCTCCCAGCCCTGAACTTTCTGCGGAGATTTCACGAGGAAGAATAAAATTTTAATCCTAGTTAGATTATTAGTAAATGTGGTTTTAACATGTTCACCTCTGACTCAAGCAGTCCAAAGCTTATTACTTACAATTTGATACAAGTTTAAAATTAGGGTCAATATAATAGTTAATATAATTTTTGATGTCATTAGAGGAAAATTCTTAAAGCTAAGGATGAAAGCATTTTGAGGCAATGGTGAGTCAAGGTTTGGTGACTACACAGGCATTAAATAACCTATGCTGCCATTCAGTCTGTGGGCCAAGGCATTCCTGCTGCTGGGTGAATCCTTTGACTTGAGTGATTTTCCAGCCAAAGAGTTTGGACAGACCCCTGTGATCCCTCAAAAAGCCAGGCTGCTTGCACCATTACACATGGTTGGGATCTTGAAGAGCCTCGTGCTGTGTTGGAAATAGTCAGGAGCACCATTTACAGCTCCTGAAGCCCTCTGGCAGTAACCCTGCTTCCTATTGACTCATTTGACCTCACTGCACAGGAGCTGAGCACTCCTGAGTTCAAATGGACAATTTCTCTGGTCTCTCACAGCTGGACTTCAGTAACACCTTGGTGAACACAAAGTGTGAATGTTGCCACTGATCATTTCATTGCACAGTGTCCTCCAGAGAGGGGAAAGCTGTAGCTTCCATAGCAGAACTCCAGTGCACAGATTTATCTTCTGTCCAGCTCCCAAAGAGTTATCCTGCAGGAGAAATGAAGTTCAAAACATTAATGCGCCTGCTGGAGAGCCTGATGCCAGACTGCTGTTTTCTTGAAAGTGCCTGTCAGGAATACCTTGTTTTTTCTGGGTCCATCTCTTAGTAGGCATTCATTTTTACTCAGCAAATACCAAAAAACAAGCAGCTTTCAGACAAGGAGTTCAGTTTAGAGGGTCAGCAGACACTCTTTTTTGTTGTTCCCTCTAGCAGCCCTAATTTTTCATCTGACAGCCAAATTAAAAGCTGTCTGGAGAAGAATAAATTTCTGTTCCAGCACTTGTAAATTAGAAATTGGAGTGGAAAACCTATGCGTGGCTATAATCAAGAATTCTTAACTTGTCCATTTAGCTTTTTTAGACAATTTGGAGAGAACAAGTGACACTTGTAAATTTCAAAAATATAAATGCTCATTTGAAGGTCACAGGAATCATGTACCTCACTGTACTGAACAGCATGAACAAGACTAGTTACAAGATGGATTCTTTGAGTCATCCTATGGAAAATATCAAAAAGTCTATTGAGCTTCATTTGGTACTCACATGAAGCAGTTCAGAAGTCCACCTCAAACGATTTAAACAGACAAGGATTTTCTGTGAGGCTGCAAAGAGCACAGCAACTTACTGCATACAATGCTTTTGTGAGATCAATGAAAGGAAAAGAGGAAAATTCTGCATTTCCAGCATTGTCTCCTTACAAGCCCTCTTATCCCAGGAATATGTTCCTTTTTCTACTGTTTTTTTATTTCTATATTTTATAAGCTCTTAACATTGATGAAATTTATTTTTGAACTGTCCTCAATGCACACTTATTCACATTTAATAGCACACACTGAAATGACATTCTATTAGTTATTTGGTACTGACTGTATAAGCTTTTGGCACAAAACACAGCAAACAAAAGATCTGCTGGTACTCTAATCCATAACAATGCTTTAAAATGGAAAACTATAAAAATCCTCTCTTTGTATTACAGATATGATGGGACTATTTCACTTGGATGTTATTCTCGTTTCTCCTTTTACCTGAAAGGGCTTGGAGCAGGGAAAGGAAAAAAGAAAAATCTGTTGGGCTTTTGCAAATATGTCTTTACTTTAAAATTTTTGATGCATTTAGCAGCAATTAAGTAGCTGTCCTCACAGTTACCTTGTGAGATCTACCTCAGCCAGTGCCTACCTGCTATTTATACAGAAATAATTAGCAGTTGTGGTTGTGTGCCTTAGATCCTACTTTATCCCATGCTAATTTTCCTTCCCTGCTTTCCTTGGGTTATGTAATTTAAGCAAGAGTTCTTACTGCCCTCTATAAAAATGTGAGATCTTGAATTAGAGGTACTGTAATAATGTGAGCCATAACAGAGAAGCAGGGATCACAAGGAGAACTTTACAGTTGAATGATCTGATTTGTCAGCATTTCTTTGGTACATCCAGGATATCCTAAAGCACAAGGCATAGTAATATACAGACACAGCTACACCAAGTGATATAAAAATAATTAACAAAAGGAATTTTCATGACCAGTTATTGTGTTAATGTGCAGCAAATTATCAATTCCACAGTTACATTTGTGCTTTATGAGTCAACTAAGGCAGCTCAGGACAGGACTCAAACTGACAATGCTTATTCACATCTCTTGTAGCAATTATTTTTTGCCCAAGTCTAACTTACTTGCATGATGCTACATAAGAGTAGGTTGTTCTGTTAGTTGTTTTCTCTCCATTTTTAAGTAGCTAGAAGTAGTAAAATTTCTAACTTTTCTGAATAAAAATCCTTTTATCTGATGATCACCCAAATATATTAAGAATAGAACACAATACTTTTCTAGACCTGGGTTATTTATATTTTTCATTTTTTTAAGCAGCTGTTCCTCAGCAGATCTGCAATGTTCTTCACAACTTAAAAACACCAAGAATTAGGTCTCCATGATTGAACTGTGTCAAACAGAATCCAGGCGGGACTGAACTGTGCAGCTTAAGTGGAGAGCTCTCGAGCATTTTTTGTACTCTACACAAAATTATTCTTACTCCTGTGAGCGGCAAAAGGTACAAAGCTTCTCAAATGAGCTTTGCTCATACAGCTTCTCCTTCAGTGCTATGTTATGTTGACACTTGACACTTCCTATACATTTACAAGCTTCAATTCACAATCACTTACCTTCCTGTATTCTTCATTATCCATTTATTCTCTCCAGTTAACAGATTTCAGACACAATTATTTACAAATTCCTCTTCTTTTGGCTACACATCCAGCAGCCAACTGCTATGGCTTTTCTGTTTGACTCCAGATGGCAACTACATCTACAGAATGGAAAGCAGTAGGATTTGAGAAAAAAAAACCAACTCCCTGATACATCCAAATTCAATGGATGTGGTTAGTTATAACTCCAGCAGAGAAACCTGTCCAAAGCAAGACTGGGACAGGTAGCTATGCTCCAGGGAGAGGAGCAAGGGCATGGGCAAACTGACTTCAGAGATTGCACAGCTTTGATTTAACAAGCTGAGCAAGAGCTGGTTACTGCTAATAAACATCTCTGATATATGTATCTCTTATGCAATTGTAAATTTAAATGCAGATTTAGACATTTTCTTCTGTTACCTTCCTTACAGAAAAATATAACTGTGCATGTTGTGGGGGATGGAGAGCCATATGCAATAATACGCACAAAAAAAGCCTACCTGTAATGCCTCTACCTTGCCTGAGGATCCTCATCCTCAACTACACACATCAATGCTGGTACATTATGTTACTGAACTGACAAAAACAGACACTGGGATAGCATAGGATGTAACCATAATGTACTCCGATTATGAGGCAAGGCAGACTTTCCAAATGAAGATGCTGAATCAGACCTGGAAAAACTGAATTTTTCAGGTCTGTTCTGATACAAAGCCTAAGATTAAAAACTGTGGGTTTGTGTATTGGCTAGAGGAAATTGCAGCATATGTCCAGAGCTAACTATGCAGAAGTACTGCAGTCTATCAGTTTTAATCTTCCTTCAAATCTTTTAACAGAAGAGACACCAAATAAATGCTCTGCATTTGGCTTTTTGAAAAATGCATAACTTATGCTGTAGCATCCTGCAGAAATTTGCATCACTTACCATCACTTTTTCTGTTTTTGAAATGTCTGACAAATTAACTTTCCATTAATTTTCCTTGCTCATGGTCACAATGTTTAGCACTGCTTGGGTTATCTTTGCTGATGAAAGAATGGAATCTTGCAGTACATTACAAAGATATGCAAAAAAATATTAGTTCTCCTATAGCAACCATATTTCATTTAGAACTTGTCATGATGCAAATCTGAAGATATGACATAGCACACTGAAATCCATCCATAACACCCTTTCCTATTGATAACCTGTTTAGAAATGTCTACAAAACCACCCCTACAACCATTGTCCTACAAGACTGCAACAGCTGGCACAGCTGTTGCTGCATGGAGCCTGCATTTCTCAGCCTTACAGAACCTTAATGACTCTCTCTTTTATTTCTAGTACTGCATCTGCTACTTAATAACATGGGGCTTGGCGAGGTGGGGTGATGATTTAGGTAGCCCTCTACATTCAGTAGCAAGTACATTCAGTAACACAGAACACAGTCTGCAATTGAAAGTAAGGATTTTGTCAGTTCTCATTATTACCAACGTTCTGTGCTGTGCTTTACATTATTTTATGTGACCCAAAATATTTAAATCCCACCCCCCACTAGGAAGTTTCCTTGTACTAGGCACCTTTTTTTTTTTTCTGAAAAGCAAGCATGAGCCTTATTATAATAAGATTTTTTTTTAAAAAATCCTCTTCATTAGTTGAAGGTTACCTTAGAAACATACAAAAAAGAAAGATGATCCTTCCCTTTTCCACCCCTTTCAGTTTCAGCTTTAGCTGGTTGATACACAGGATTCTGGATTACACTTCCCAGGATTAAAAACAGAGGAAAGAAAATGAGCTTGTATTGCCAATCATTCAGATTAAAAGTTTTTTGTTTTAAGAGAGACATCAGGTGAGGGGTAACACAGAATTCCAGATAGTCTTTACACAATGGACTCCAAGCTTGTCACCTTTTTCCCAGTGCATATTGATGTCAGTTGTTCTCCCTTTACTGCTGAGATTTTTTTTTTTACAAGAAGCTAATTTTCCTGCCTGTTCTTCTATATCTCATCCTCCTTTTCACAAACAGGACACCCATTATAGTGACTCCCAGAACCACAAAATATGGTCCATCCACCTTTCAAGCTTGCCCTTTTCCTCTCTCAGTTACAGGGTCTATATAGCTCTTTACAGTCCTAAGAAAGTCTTAGAGCAGAGATTATTTAAACAGGGTATTTTTCTTATTCTTCTTTCTTGAAACAAAATCTAACTGGTTTTCCATTTTGAAAAATATTTTAAAACTTCAAAATGGTTGTGAAATCTCCAGTACCGTTTTCTGGCGAAAGACTCTCTAGTCACAGTAGTTCAAAACCTAATTTACAAAATCCCATATCCTATATGCTAATATAAATTCTTACATATAGCAATATCTTTACTAAAGATCCTTGAAACTCTTACTTTCACTCATGCTGCTGATTCTACTCATGTTTATATAGATTATGTATTCCAATATTCATTCACCCCTACAGTTACCTTCTGGGAATTACTTTCTTGCAACGTAACATCAGTGGAAATCCAGACTGCAGTAACATGAATAACCCAAAACTTCAAACGAGGAAGGGAATCTAACAGATCCATATCTTGGTGAGTTTCCTGAACATTTTCCAACAGAATTGAAACATGCAATGACACCCTAATAGGTCTGTCAGAAGTCTTCAATCAATTTTACCACTTAATCTATAACAGAATGCATGTACAGCTTTTCCTCCCATGGCACTATTCTTCAACAGATGTCAAGGCTCAGGTCCTCAGCAGATGCTACCTACCTCTATCTCATGGGATCTGATCCTACCATGCAGGCACCAGAGACCTTCAAGGAAGACCAGGACGCTTCCAAGATGCCATCCAGCTCAGAGGAGCAGGCCAGGTACTGCTAATGCCCCATAGTTCAGGATACCTTGAACACCCCTCAGACTCTAGCTGGAGTCTACTTAAGACTCTAGCTGGAATATGGCAATGAGAACTCATTTCCGTTTTTCATACAGATCTAGATTTTCAATGCAGAGAACACATTTGCCAAGTTAGAAAAATAAAATAAATGCTTTTTGGCATGCAAACTGGCTAAATTAACACTGGTATATTCAGAGACACAGAAACAGGGAAGTCATGGGAATATGCAGAGGAAAATTATTCCTCTCTCACCAGTTGCACAGCCTTAAGACTCCCCTTAGTACTATGCTCTTATGCAACATTAAACAATATCCTTTTATATAAAAATACAGCAGTAAAATCTTGTTCCTCTGTCTTCCCTGCCTCAATTTTTTGCACTGCTTAATGCTGAGTGCCTGGTGTCCAAAGGACATGATATTAGTATCCCTTTTCTGTGTTTGTTTGGCCCTGTGGGGTCCTTAAAGCAGAAAAAATCCTGGATCCTCATCAAACCTTACAGAGCAATCCTTTAAACTGACTACAAAATATGCTCCAGTACCCTCAAGATGAAGGATGAACTATCAACATTGTTGCTATGGGATGTGGTCCTTTTTTAATATTGCAGAAGTCTGGCTCTATGGATCTCAGTGCTGTGCTTACTGATGAGGCAGCTCTGGCTCTCTTTTGTCAGTTTTCAGACTAAAGCAAGCACAGCCCATATATTTGGATGTATCCAAGTATTTGCCAAATCCTGTTGGCACAATTCTACACACATGAAATTGAGTTGTGGACTCTCACATTGTCATTTTATATAAAACCATTTATACAGAGAGAATATAACTGATGCAAAATCAGAATGCTTTTGCATGAACATAAGTTTGGAGTTCTACATCTCTACAAAATTTGAATTCAAAACTTACAAGATTAAAACTTTTTCACCATAGAAATAATCATACTTCCCTCCAAGAAATGAGGGCAGTTTTCTATTTGGGCTGTTTGGAACATATTGTCTATAAAACATTTTCCAGGTTTCCTAGAAATTTAACCATGCAGATGATCAGATCTCCTGTAGATAAAAGGTCTAAATTTACTAAGGATGAGTGAGGACAACCAGTTCTGGTGCAATAACTCTCCAGAAAACCCTAGTTCTAGACAATTTAAAAAGTAAAATCCTTTGCTACAGCCACCACTCCTTGGTTCTTTGCAAGCAACAGCTCAGCATAGCTACCTCATCATCCACCAGAAACTCAGTTTCTTCTGCTTTTTCTCTTCCATTAAATAAAATTTAAACAAACCAAGAAACAAAAAAACCCACAGTCCCCCAAAACAGCGGGGTTTTCCCTGCTTTTTTTTCATAGTGTGAGGTCTACTTTCTGTGGTGGTGTAGTGGCAAGGGAAGATACAAAGCTTAGTTGTTTGTGTATTTTGCTTTGTTTCAGTACAAACATTTGTAAATATTTCTTTTCCCAGCAACTTCATGCCATTTCAGAAAAGACAGTTCTAAAGTCATCTTCCTAATCTGACAAAAGGTTTATGGTCACCCCCAAAAATACGGACATTCAATACCTATTTTAACACCCATCTTTACATCAAGTTAATTGCCATGACTGCTGCCTTTTACTGCAGAATATAATTGTGAAAGGAATGCTCACAATAAACCAGAGTTCTTATCCTGAACTGTAACTGATGTCCAAAGCATGCCATGAAGAAGAGAACTGCAAGATAGGAAGAAATACAAGTCAAAATCTCATATAAATGCTAATGTACTTATGTACTAAAAATCTAGCAAAAGCTGAAATAAAAGATGTGCCATCATTTCTAGACCAGAAGGCCGAACAGTTGCTTATTGCTTTTAGACATGAAATGGCCTTACAAAATGAAAAAAGGATTTTACTCCCTGTGCCCCATTTCCCTTTATTGTATAATTAAATTAGATATTAGACTGGGGTGATACATGCATTAGGTTTTAAAACCTAATATTTGCCAAAATATTAGTTGTGTGTAATTTAACTGCCAAAAACCCAGAAACAGGATGTGTTATGTGTGTACTTTTGGCAGCTTAGCCATCTAAAAGCTAAAAAAAAAAAAATAAACTGGTAAGCACATGAGAGAGAATGGAACCAATTAGAACTGTTTGTTCAAGGTAAGAATTTCTAAATCAGCTCCGTTTTTTAAAACAGTCATTTAAATATGCAATATCCAATCTGGAAGGCAAAAAGTCCTCAGAAAGGAGCACAAGTAGACAGCTGTTTAGGAGCACTCAGGAAATCTATTTTAGCT